GCTGTCATGAAAGTTCAAGTCTTTGGCCTGACGCAACTTCTGCTGTCTAGAAGTCGTTTTATGCCGCCCCACAACATTTTAAACAAGACAGTTTATCCAGGTCATGTTCCCAAGGAATTCATCACAAAATAATGTTTAAAGTTAATATAGAAAGCTTCTGTCCTAACTTAATGCCTTTTAAAACTAATTGGATGAATTTTCTGCTGGTTATAACATAATACAGTATGGAAGAGTAATAAACTAAGGATTACATCGCTAAAAACAACTATGTCTTCAGTTCAGATGATACAATTCTATCCTCACTAAGTAAAGAATGTCTCAAGAGAACAGGGATTCTTAGTTTTATGAACGAAGGAAGGAAAAAAGTTCAGTTCCCGTAGACAAATTATTATCTCATAAATGGCGATCGTTTATTGTCGTTATTATATTTGCCTCTAACTGCTTCTCAATTTCGACCCGGTCAGTCTTTGTTGTTCTCTCCTGTACTCAATTCAAACTTAAAGGAAACATTGCAAATTGTTATATTATATATATGTTCAAATATAAAAGTCGAATTCTCAGTGTCCGGTGAACTATATGAGAATAACTAATTCTTAATTAATAAATTGATTAAGCATCATGAAGATTCAGGAATGAAAGCGCTAATACTTAATTCGACGTGCTGTTTTAAGTCATTGTAATATATATTTATATATATGTATCATAAAGAACTTTTGAGCGATAATGGCCCTGTGGACCTGTTGTTTTGATAAAGTTCTGTAATAAACCTGAAATGCGCATTAAAACGTATGAACGATTTTACTATGTTTTTCCTCTTCGCCATTCGTTTCTATTACTTTTGAAATCGTTATGATCGGTTTAAATGTATGATGATATTAAATGTATGAAATGTCGAAATCTTTTTATGTGTTACGGTCTTGATCAATACGTCTAAGTCACATGTGTAAGTACAAATATGTATTTTTAATGTCTGAAAATATCTAAATCTTTTTGTGTCAGTATTTTTTCCTGGTTGCGTTTTAAATACACAAGTATATCGATAATAATTATACCTATTGAATTAAAGATAACGTTTCTCCTGATTGACATTCTCAACTTAGGAAACACTAGACATGTAATGTTGGTTTGGTATGTCTATCGTCCTCAGTCAGTACGGCCAGCTAACAAATTCCATTGCTCTTATCAAATGTATTCAAAACAATTCGTGCGTTTCACTATTATAACTGGAAACGAAATGTGTGCGTTCCGCTATTATTCATGCTTCCGTCTTTTCTACAGGCCCGTATCATTATGGATACTTATTAGGTATAGTATGATGGGTAATGTTCTCCATTTTGTAATGCAGGAACATTCATTACGAGGCAAATCACGCAGAGTAACGATGGCCCGAGATTTGGCGAGGCGGTGTTGCTTGTCATGGCACGCTACAAACCATTGCCTTGTAACTTCCCAAATATTGATTTAACCATATGAAATACATTTCTGAATTACAGAAAATCGATAATCATATCAAAAGAGCTTCACCGCCATCTTGTTATTTGAAGTGGCCGTGTCGTATTTATTTGATAAAGATCGGCCTTAAGTACATTTAACGATGTACAGATCTATGGTATTTATTGGGCTGTCTACATTGCGTCAAGTCTCGTCGCCATTGGCCTCAGCAGTGATCTTTTAAGACAATAACATTCGATTCTGTACTAGAAATACGATTCTTTGTTTGTTTATATCTCAAGTTTCCCTATAATATATTTACTCGGAATTCTTGTTCTTTTATAACTTGACTTGGGCATGTCTTGTGGGGTATCGTGTTCGTCTGGGGAAAGCATTGATGGATTTTCTAGATGATGACTCTGCTCATCTATGCATCGAGTTCTTTGAATGGATTTTCTGGTCTGAAGATTATTTCCATCGACTTTCCCTCATAACTTTTTCATCTTCTATTTCTCATCTCGATATGTGTTCGTCTCATATGCAGCATGGCAAGGTAAACTCTGATATGACGAACAAGTCCTTACACCAGAAAAAGGATAGGAAACGATAGGATTGATAATACTTTAGATTCATGTTTAAATAACGTATTTTAAAGGTTTTAGGTAATTTTGACTCTAAATTGTCATTAGGAAAACCTGACCTATATATTCCAGAGCCAATACTAAAATGTATCTGCATGGAATTACAGTAGGTAAACGTTGTTAAATAAGTAACTTCCGGTAGTTAACTGTTTAACTTTTATGAAGTATATGCAGTTAACTTCCGTATAAGTAGGTTATATATAAACTGCCAGAAGTTAGTCATTTTTTCAACTTTCGTGAAATATATCAAGGTAGTTTCCTTAGTAACAATGAAATATGTTCATTTATGTGTTTGTTAAAATGTTATTGATCTGTTTTACTGGCATTGTGTTAAGGTAGTCAGTTCATCAACTTTGCAATGAAGAATGTTAAGTTCATTCTCCTTAGATTACTTTTTAACGTGCAGTGAAGTATATGGAGTTGAGTATGATTTAAAAAGCTCTTTTTAACTTCCATATATGAATTAGTGTATGTGAAGTAAAGAAAGAGTAAGACGTCAGTTAACTATTTAACATTAAGTGACATATATAACATAATTAATAATTAATCTTTAGCTGACTTTTTCGGTTTCAGTGACATATGTGAAGTTAAGATTTTGTTAGTTAATCGTTTAATGTTTTAACCATCAAGTTATTTATACGTGGTATATAACCTTTCAGACCTGATATAAAACAAACTTCGAAGCATTTGATTATAAAAATGTGTTACAATAGGTTATACAGTTTGGCATAAACAATGCAATATCATCATTATTAATTCAATTCTATGTAATTAGCATTATTATGTTGAGGATACCTAAGTCTCGTCATCAGTAATATCTTGATACTAGTATCGGTTCACGTTACCATATTTGAACGGGAACGGAATGTCAGCAAATACAATCTTCTAGAGGTCGTTTTATTGTGGGTTTCCCTACCTTTTGACATTGTATCAATTGTTTCTACTGTTTTTACTTTTTTGACTTTGCCATAAGACTCATCGACATACTTGATCTAAAAAAGCGTTTTCTTTGTATCGCAAATGTTTCTTCATACTTAATTCTTGGCTAAACCTTCCGCAGCCTTTAGCAGTGTCACTATCACTATTTCTAATTACACACGATTGTATACTAGGCTTCGCTACTTTCACTTTCACTTCACATAGTGCGTTTTTCATGTGTTTTCATGTTTCCTTTTGAAAACCATAGCAACGTTTTCAGATTGGTGATCAATTTACATGAAATAAAGTCTTACTACTGTTTTTGAGGTATTCTATTGATTTAACAAATATATCATTAGAAATAATAAAATTGATAAGAGTTTAGATAGCATGATAATGTTAAGTGCAACTGATGATAACATGATTATTCACTCTCAAGAATTGCAGAATACATACGGAATCATTTTATGTAGCTGTTTTATTTTTTATTATTCTAATTGATAAAATAAATGCAATGTTTTCGTTTTATTGACTAAAATAACAAAAAGGGAGTCTACCGTTGTTGCTAACCTTGTTTGTATTGTGCAATGCCGTGTGTTTTAGACATCTTTCTTGATCGTAATTCCAAACATAGATATAGGATGATATTTTCCAAATGTAAATGTTTGGAACAAGCTTCAAATTATTGAAATCGTGAATTACTTTGCCGGATGAGTTGATTCAAGGGGTGAAGGCACCTTTCCATCCATATCTCAACATCTAGATTCCGATACTTCTGGCCCCTAGCATCACTGACGAATCATAGAAGAACAAATCAGCTGTATGCTGCAACTTGATATATAACTTAGAATATACTGTATAAGATGAAATGTGTGCTCTTTTGTACAATCTTATTCATAGTAACAATAGAGTATATACAATTTGTGAAACTCGACATGAATAATCTCTCTGACTGTAGGGTAGGAATTTTATCACAAAAGTTTATAGTCTGGAGTACTTTATGTGAGAGGAAAACATCATCATCATTGTCTTTTTCATCTCCTGACTTGCTCTAACAGTGTTTGAACGTAAATGCATTTTGGTGTTTTTCTAAGACCTATATAACGTATGTATTCACATTGTATTTGTTTATTAACCACGATCAGACCCATTGATCATCTACAACGTGATAATAACCCCTGTTTCTTATATAACGCCCAATGAGCATTCTGACCAGTCAGCAGACCTCGCGTATCAGGGTTAAAGTAATGAAGAAGACCAATCAGAACTTGTGCTTGAATCAAACAATGTATTAAAAATGTATTATAATCATTATCCCTTATCGTTTTACCATGATAAACATAACATTTACACACATTACAGTAAAAATAAATATTTGAAGCTCGATATAGAAAAAAAATAATATATTCTGGGTCTACATAACTCTACATAATTCAAGGACCACGTGATAACGTGAAAGCGTGAACAAAGATTATATTGCTTTAGCTGAATTTGGGTAAGTTAAGAAAACAAAAGATATAAATAAATTTATCTCTGATATACAAAGAATGCAGATGACTTGGAAAACCAGAAAAAAGAAGAAAGAAACAGGATAGTAAATCTGAAAATAATACAAGGAAAAATTAGTATAATATGTTCTCTACTTGAATATTTTCGCGGCTGAAATGAGAAGATGAAAAATGTGATTTGAGAGGGTGGAAGAAGATGATTAAAACAAATAATAAAAAACATCTGCAGTGTCATTTCGCTACAAAGATAACATTCATAATTCAATCAGAATATTTTAAACTAATTCGTTCAATATCTTTGCAAAATATAACTGTGGTCTTCATTGTTGATGGTCTGTTAATCAGTTTTCAAGACAGAAAATAACGTATAGAATATATAAAAATGCCAAGCATTTTGATTGGTCAGATAAATCTGTTGTACTCGTTGTGATTGGTCAGTTTGCCCGTGCATGGTGACCGTGCTTTGTGCGCTAACACTGTTGTTTTTTGTTTTGTTGTTCAGGCCGCAATGGCGAAGAGAGTATCCCAATGTTGATGCTAAACCATACGTCGGACAGGGAGCTGGACTCTATGCCCCGCACTCGTCCACTAAACACTGTGGAAAAGTCTCCGCCCCGACTCGTGGAAATAAGTTCCAATCCCGGCACTCCACTAAAAGTTACTGAAATTAAGGTTTCTGGTCAGTATAACAAGCATTTTCTTCACAAAACAAACGAAAAACGTTAAAGACCTGCCCGTTGTTTGTTTTACAAAATGCCACTGTGTGGCACTGGGTGATTCCCTGACGCCACCTGGCGGCAAATGGGGTCACCCAAGGCGAGAGATATTCTCTTCATCACTCTCTTTCTGTTGTACAACGTGTGGGCTTTTTGCTTTTGTTTGGACACCGTGTTTTGTGATTCGAGTTCCCTCCCTTCAGTAGTTTAACTAGCTTTACTTGTTACTATATTTATGCTGTCCGTGCCTTTCCGGAACCAACCATTTCTACGAGTCTTTTATTACTATATCTTATCTATGTGACCCTTTATGTTACTTTCGGCTAACCCTCTACGTTTTAGCTTTCGTTTCAGCTTCATCCATGGTATACCAAAGCGAGCAAGCGAATGATCATTTGGAAGACTTCTTGCAAGGTCGTTAGGAAGCCTTTTTGTACCACCAGAGTTAATTATATCCTGAACATGTCACGTGTTTACATCTTCGAATTCTTACGTCATAAACTTTAGTAATATTATTTGACAACGATAAAAAATTTATTGTTTTAGTCTAAAGCGTTCCTCACTTTCCATTACACACATACACACAAGCTCACACTAATAATATATTTGTAAACAGTCTTTGTAAAATTATCAATGATTTTGCTTAGTCTTCAATGCTTCTATTTTTTCAAAACATTTAACTGTTTATTTTGCAAACGAAAGAATTTAAGAATACAAAGTCATATTATAGAATAGACACATTCACATTTATTGTCATTTCTAGAAACTACTTCACACAATAGAATGCACCAACATTAAATTGGGCCCATCATTCGTAGTAGCACTGCCTAACTGCATAAAATGCTTTAAGCTTCTCTTTGGTACTTGGAGTTGTCTTTTGAATGTATTTCTTCTTCTTTTTTATGCTTCATTATCTCATTTTATACTTTAGTTAAGTCCCCTTTTATTGTAGTGAATCATAATTGATAATATATCAGTGTTATTTTGATTGGTGGTTTCCTGTTTTTCAATAATGAGCAGGTAATGACTTTTCAGCATTTTTGTATTGAAAGATGAACTACATATAAGTTTCGGTAACTTAGACGGGCATAGCGTAAATATAATTTTTAAATATAAGAGGTTATCTTTCATTTTTGTAACTGGAGTTAAGTGTTATGTAAATATAATTTGTAACTGAATTTCAATTTGACCAGATTGCCTACTGTAAAATCGTTATTTTTTTAAGGGAATTTATTTACGTTTAATCCGTGCCTACTCAAAGTGGTCGAATTTATGTTAGCACGAAATGATTAAAACACAGATATAAAAGTTAAGATGGGTTATAGTATGTGTGGATTTTGTGAGAAACATTTATCCGCGAAATCCAGTTCCAACGAAAATGTACATTTTTGGAAACACCACGAAATTTGTGACCCACGAAAATTTATGATTTTACAGTATCCTGAAATTGCTTTCAAAACTTATTATATATCCATTTCTCGAAAACCTATTTACATTTCCAGGGATAATACTCATTAATCCCGTGCTGTTACTTTACATTAGGATTGGTTCCATTGTCTGATCGTCGATTTGGTATCTATGTCTTTTAGGATGGCTGATTCGTTGTGTGTTGAGTGTAGTTGAGCTAGTATACACAATATAGAACTGGCCTTTTTCAGGGTATTTTTAACCTTGCATGATTTTAACTTTTGTTGGCATTAATGAAACCTTGTGCATTGTGGTATTTTTCCTGCATTTAGTTTATTTCTACTCGTAATATATATATTATGTACTAATATCTAAAATATAAGACCGGAAGTTTATGCTTATGAACGGTGTCAGGAAGTCACGTGTTGTTTGTTTGATTTGTCAATGCATTTTGCTGTAAACATTTCCGTGAACTTGTTTGTACATCCTTTGTACGTGGATGTTTTGGAATCGATGGCTTGGTTAAAGATAATGATTTACTCTTTTTGTACTTCTCATCCTTATATGAATTTTGAATTTGATACTAGTTTAACAGAACTTGTTTGTTAATATGCATACATTTCTGACACTGTTTATATTTTACTGGTTTTGTTGTTCAACCACAATGTTTATTTCACAAATCTGTATTTGCTTTAATATCTAGGTTTTATATCTAGTTTATCATTATAACACAATTTACATGTATAAAATCCTAAATTTATTTGATTTTAAGAACGAATATTCTGTTAGGCTGGTGTAAGTTGTAACTCATTGTGGTTGAATAACAGCAAAACGGATTATGAGAATAATTCGTAGATTTTTGTGGTTAGTGAAGTAAATATTAGAAATATGTTATAAAAGATTCACTCTAACCACTATACAGCAATTTCTGAGATATTTAAAAACGTGGAATATGAATTTCAATTAAATGAAATGAAAAAAAATGTGCTATGTTTCAATATTTGGTCTATTTATTCTAAAATTGAATTCATACAGTTTACAAACACTTAGATTATCCCAATGTTTGCGTAGAAATAGCTAGTTGTGTATTAAACTCCTTTATCTATCTGTATAAACTGTTCTTTGATACCTAGACTCCTTTATCAGTGTTCTGGTTTGTTGTGTCTTAGGGAATTTCCATATGAAGCGAACCGAAACGTTTGTATTTTAGATTATGATTAATTTCCGCGAGGAAAGTTTGAGCTAACCCGTAATATGTCATAAAGACATAAGGGGTACACATGAATATCTGGTATACAATTTTGAATTTGAAAATGCTTGCTTCATTTGGAAAATCCGGTAATTATGGGGTTCTGATTAGGGTGTTTGATTCAAAATAATTTCAATTTCAGTGGATATAGTAACATTGTTATAGCTATATGATTCCTGACCGTAAGTATGATAGTACGACAACCGCTCTTGAAGCAGTACAGAAATAAGAACAGGCATACTGGAATAGTATTATCGAAGTGTTAGGAACTTTTATGTCAACATTATATAGCAACCAATATATACATTTATATTCCTGTATAAAAAACATTGAGCATTTATCGACCTTCCTCACAGTTGGATTTTTGTTCATCTTCGTGATGAAAAACGTTATTATCTCCTCCCGTTAAAATACAAATTTGACGTTGATATATATTTTTGCTATATAATGCTACTGTATATATATAAACCTTGCACTGTGCGTCACTTCCTGGTTCACACTCAATCTTGATTGGCCCATTTTTCGTTGACAGATGCCGGAGGAGCAACGACTGCTTTGTCCAGTCTTATAATGGCACCAAGTGCTAATCTAAATGCAAATTCTAATGCTGTAACCAATAGCAACGCTTTACCAAATTCAGTTCCAACGACAATACCCTCAATTTCACCTACTACAGAGAAAAAAAGTGAGTATATCTTTAACATACGCTAACGTTCAGGTTCGAAAATAAATAAAATATACTTGCATGTATAAAGCAGTCAAGTGAAGAATTCAGGAAATGGTTTTACATAGAAATCTCCCTTCCAGAGTTTCCTGAAACAAGACCTGTGATGAGTATCTTTTAAAGAGATAATCCAGTTTAATTGGGAATAGTTTTTACTGCGTTGAAACCATAAAACTGCTCTCTTTGCTTTTGGATATTATAAGAAACGAAATTCAAAATTGTTAGGGTATCAGAATAAGCCATTTTGATCAACAATAGCTGTGACCTACAGAAGCCATAGGAAGACTGACCATCACCATTTGGTTCATCCATTGCACCAGGTGTTTATTCTAAATAACTCGCACTTTTCCTGACAATATCTCTGTCATCAGCACGGTCTTAATATATTGTAGATATGTCACTGTAGCTTGTAACCATAGACATACTTATTATGCACAGTCAATTCATAAATATACAAGACGTAATTTTCAACTGCTCTTGTGAGACTTTAACTATGGAAAATGTAAACTTTGTTCACGACACGTTTGTGCATGACTGCTTTGTCGTCATGGTTTCAATCCGAATACGACTGCACGTAGGATGGAACTATATTTGCGCTTCCTCGCGCAATGAGCTGTCCGTTGTCTCAAAGGATTGAGACGTTTCTGAAACCAAATAAGTCAAATGGTGATACAAGTATGAGTTGCGATTCATTTGAAATTTGAAGTTTTTTACAGCTGTTTTTCAAGATCTGCTCAAACTTGCACATGACCATTTATTGGCATAATTGTCATAATTTATCTTTATGTGAAACACGCAAACCATATTTTGAGTTTCATGAAATGTCTGAGATAGATTTCTAAGTGATAATGTGTTCGAAATAGATAGCCCCACCGTTCCTTGTATTTTCTTGACGTCGCCTCCAGCCGTTGTGTTTTCGAGTTGAATCCATCAGCTTTTGCATCTTCAAGGTTGCATTTTTGCCATTTTGTATTCGAGATTGTCCCTTTGTTCATTGTGTATTCAAATTAGCCCATTCAGTTATTACGTGTTTGAGATGGCCTCTCCAGTCATGTCTGTTCGAGGTGGACCCTTCAGTTATTTTGTATACTAGATAGCCCTCTCAGTCATTGTGCATCCAAGATGACCCCTTCAGTCATTGTGTGTTCGAAATTGTTCTTTCAGTCATTGTGTTTTCGAAATGGACCCTACAGTCATTATTTTCATGACTGCCCCTACTCTCATTCTGTCTTGAATGTCAAAATATTTGTAATGCTGTTTCTCATTAAATTTATGCTTAGTGTCAAGGCTGTGTAGTACGAAGGAATGAAGGTCATATTTAGTAAATTTGCTGAGAGTATGGTGTGAGATGACCACGAACGTTCTATCGAAAAAATGTTAAAGGTCGGAGGTTAAATGTTACCTTTTCTGTAATAAACTTGATGAGGGAAAATGTAACGAAAAGTTGCATCATAGGACTGTTACAGATGCTGGGCACAAAGATCAATGTGGGATCGCTGAAGCCTTTTGCTATTTTTGTTTTGTTTTTTACTTGTTTAGTGCAAAAAAAAATATATAGTATGTTTTATATTATCATATGCGTTTTTTCAGACTTACCCAAAAGTATACGAGGAGACGGCGCTGATGTGGGTAAGGCGCCCCCTGGCGGAACGACAGCAAACAATACAAGCATTGAACAACGATCAGCCAACCACTCTCCCTCCTCCTCTCCTCCCACCTCAAACAACCTGGTAGCCGTAAACACGTAACCACTGTGGACCAGCACGAGTAGCGGCAACTGGGCGGAATACAGCAGTGCGCTTGCGTAAAGGAAGCGATAGTGATAGTATAGACTGTATAGACTAACTATTGCAGTGATTATTCCTACAAGCAGACAAATAAGGGTTGTATGATACGGAAGAGCACGTGTATGTCTGTAATTAACGCCGATGAACCTTTAGCAGTGCGCATGTCCTTTGGCAGTGTACTTTTTAGAATGTGGATCAGCACAAAGAGGCATATAAGTCATTATCTGAAAAGCCAGATAGTGAAACGTATCACCAATGTGCATGTAAATGATAAATGATCAGTTTGATCATTGATAGGATTCGACTGCACGGAAGTGTAAACGTTGAAGTGATATGCGGTAGGGATGCACACTGCAGTAACGATAAATCCACGACTCAGTGTCCTTGACTGTGAACCAGACAAAAGTGACCCGCGGTGGAATATTTTGAATGTTGTTCGATTGGAATTAAACGAGTATAGAACCGAAACAAATAAAGTCCGTTGTTCGTGATGGCAGAGTTTCAATGAACAACACAGAGAAAGCAACGAGTCTGGAAACATGTTACTAATGAAAAAGCCTGTACTGGCGACCAGACACTCTGTAGCTAGCACGTGCTGCTACTGACCGTTTAGTGTGGCCTATGTGATTGGTTGTTTCCTTCTGAGAAATGTATGCTCGGTCTAGCAAACGACAGAATCTACAGGGTCGTTTTGAACATGGTTATTTCCTTTTTTATGACTAAGTCACTCATTCACAGCTCAGTATAGCAGTGTTGTATAGGTTTGTCACCCGTTATGTCATTACGTCATTGAAACTGTACCACAGACATCGTTTTGCCAATATGCATATTTAAATACCATTCACATCTTCAACGGTCTTATCCGAACGACATACCCGTATACTGAACCGTAAATCCTTCTGTCAAGCACATCCGAATGACATAATGTTACAACGTAAAGTAAGTTTCTGTCAGTCGTTTCCAAATGGCATACCATTATACTACATGGTAACTCTTCAGTTAATCGTTTCCGAATGACATACCATTTTACAAAATGGTAATTCTTCAGTCAATCGTTTCCAAATGACATACCATTATACTACATGGTAACTCCTTCAGTCAATCATTTCCGAATGACATACCATTATACTACATGGTTACTCCTTCAGTCAATCATTTCCGAATGACATACCATTATACTACATGGTTACTCCTTCAGTCAACCATTTCCGAATGACATACCATTATACTACATGGTAACTCCTTCAGTCAATCATTTCCGAATGATATACAATTATACTACATGGAAACCTCTTCTGTCAATCATTTCTGAACGGCATACTGTTAAACTGTGGTTATCTCTTACTGTCAATCATTCCGTTGCTGTGACAACGTCCCCGATATATATATTAACATGATGTAATTTAATGACTACGTCACTGACGTCACTAACCATGTCAACGCCTGGAAAATTAAAAACTCTTCATGGATTGTCCATTATTCTGATATTCTTAAACACTATCATCAACAGATTGACACTGAACTAGAAAAATCTTCCTTGCGTGCATCCGGGATCAGTTAGTTTGTTGACAAAACAGGCAAGTCGTGCCAAATTTCCATGCCGAAGAACGAAATCAGAAACAAAAGAAACGGACAAAATTTACCTGAAACGTTTTTCTCAGTTTTGACGATGGTATGTGGAACCTTAGTGAATCGTATTAAAAGACAAAATATTAGTATGGCAGACCCAGTATAATAGTCATTCCCATTTAAACCTGACTGTGATGTATTACTACCATTTGAACACCAGTGGCGAAATGAATGTCTGAGTCTGTATTAAACACATGTTATTGTTTATAAACGTAGTCGTTCAGAAATATCACTTCAGGTTTCGGAAACATATAGAGAAAATTACTTATATTATTTTTTTGATTGAGTATAATTCTGGAAATCATTATGGATGATATTATGTTCAAACTCACATGATATATTTATAATACTCAATATCTGCTCAGCCCCTTGACTTTTTACATGACGTGGTGTAATTTATGTGTGATTTATTAGATTTAATATTTGACTTTTAGTTTCCTGTTTTCTGAGTTTATGTTAATTGATGTATTGTAGCATCATTTTTTTGCCCGGGTGTAGCCGAGAGTGGCCGAGTATGGCCGGGTATGGCCCGAGTATGTGTGACCGTCATTTTTACCCATACTTCCGCAAGGTAAAAAACCAGTCTCTGCAAAACCGTTTGTTTAAGTATCTGCAAAATGTTGTTAAAATTACTCATTAGGTATGCTTTATTACGTCGAAAATCTGTATCAAAATTGTTTGGATAAAATTAAGGTAAAGGATTTCAGATTGTCACGGTATTACCAAACACTTACAGCGGAAATCATGAAGTGAACAATAATTTTCTCTCTAGATTTTATTTTCGCCATATCTTTCTTATGATATTATAATTTTGCAAATATAGCGAAAATTGTCACCCTGAAATATAACACCATTTACAGTATCCGAAACTTATACTTTCATATCATATATTTATGACTTGATATCTGTCTCTTTGCCACATTCTGATAAAACAGGAAAAATATGCCTTATTTAATTTCCTTTTCATATTTCTTGAACAGTTAACATTGTATAACATCCAGCGTGAGGATTACCTTCCATTATATACATAAACTTTAGATGTAAACAATCGCATCAGTGTGTTACATTGAGGGTTTAGTAGTTTAGACTGGGATTGAAAGTGACAACGATGTTTAAAGATTTAATTTCGGAGACCTGAATGACATTATTTTGTATCTGTTGAACAACGACTGCTTTTAAAAAACTCATTTAATTGTCGAAGTTATCTTTTTCATGGCCAGTATGAGAATTAAAAAAAGTTAAAGCCTTTTCATTTTCAAAAATATTTTTAGTCAACAATGTGATTAGTTTTCGAATTTCAATATGATCAATAAAATCCAAACAGGAGTAAACCTATATAGATAAATAATGAGATATTTTATTCATAAAAATCCATGCAGGATTGAAGTTAATTTTTGAAAACCAGCTTTTTACAAACTCATAGTGTCATTCTATAAATATGATTTTCATATTAATAACTTCTTATTTTATCAAAAAACAGTATATATGATTTTTGTTTTAACAGTTAATTTCTCGATGCGCCAATTTTACAAAAGAAAAAAATATCAATACTTTTAACTGATTGTTCAAGAAATTTTACGGTATAAAAGTATCAAATTTTCCGTTAGAATAATTCAAAATATATAGACCATTAAGATTGTTACCTGGTGGTTCGTCTGCAGATCTGTAGGCACTGATATGAAAGGTTATAAACTTATTTCAAAATCATTTCTTTTTACCCAAAAAGATAAGAACATAGAATTTAAGGTTTCGCGCCAGTTAGCTTCTATTTTTTCACTAGAAACAAGACATGTAGAACTAAATGGGTGTTTGACTTAATTTATCGAAGGTTTACTCTTTTCTGTCAACACTGAAATAAAACATATTGTTTGCAAAATTTGAATTTAAAGCGGAGTTTTCCCCATATGTATTATCACTTTCAACGAAATCTAAAGCGAAGGTCAATCTAGATTCATTTCAAATTTGAGTAACCACCAATTGCTGGCGATATGTTATACGAGTGGGATGAACATTTTGTATGAACGTCGGTGTGAGGTAAGAAACCAAGGGCTTTTATTAATATTTCTGATTTCAAAATGAATATGTTTACTGAATGCGGTGTTCAAACGTAGGAATATCCTGTAAAGGTCGTTTTTTCGGATTGTTAAAATTTTTGTGTCATTGCCATAAAGGTCAAAATGAAAAAAGGAGATATTTTTCATCCGAAATTAAAAAACGGACTTTAGTTTTCACGATATGTGTTATTTTTGTTGCGATTTTATTCTTCTCCGAAAACAGAGAAAATAAATCCCATTAAAAATATCCACCTTTTAAGTAACTCCGGAATCTGCCATGAAGAAACTATTCTAAGCGTCAGGAGGCTTGTGGGAAACACTGCTTTTTGATATTTTCTTTGTAAAGATTGTATAGGGGTGTTTAGTTTATTAGTTGACACGTTAAGCAATACTTGTTTGTTTAAACCTTGTTACAGCCAGATGATTGGCTACTCTGTGAGTTAGTTATGAAATCTGTTAAGTTTTCAAGTTGATTCCGACTGTTTTGGTTTATAGAGATATATGATGGAATCAATTTTAACATGTCAGCTTTACTCGTTGTTAACCAAATACACCTTTTAACAATGAAACACGTGTTAAAAGCATTACTTTGATGTAGCCTTTTTACTGAAAGTTATATTTGTGGTGATTTTTGTACATAAAGTTTAAAGCTGATAGTTGAATATATATAACTGAAAATGTGTACCCTATTGATAAAAGAAAACTCCCGATACTTTTAAATAGCAAACAAGAGGAAATTTACCAGTTATAAGCCAAATGTAACTATGAAATGTAGACGAACGAATAGATTCATCTACTACTGTTCGTGTGAAATTCACTTGCTATGTTCTTACAGTTTGTAATACCACATTTCGTTTTATATATTACTAATCTGCCATGCATTAATTATTTGTTATGTTTTAACAATTGGAAAACTGGAAACATTGTTATCGGTAAGCTTCTCTGTACACAATCATTTCTGCATTCAGGACTGAATAATGTTGCAAAGGTTGAACAAAAGCCACACTATGGAATTTCAATACTAATTCAGAATTAGATATAGTAGAACGAAATTATAAATAAATTTGTATCATACAGCTGTTTCGTCCTTCTAGGACTCGTCAGTGATGCTGCATTTTGAAACCGCGGAGACGACTAAGGGAAATAAAAATTGAAACGTGGGGTACAAGTTGATTAATATTTCATCTAAATGGAAATAGTTTATTAGCATCTAACATTATACAGCCGTGGACATTCATTGAACATTTTCAACGTAGAAAAGATGTTGCATAAAATTCC